TGCGTGCGTGCGTGCGTGCGTGCGTGCGTGCGTGCGTGCGTGCGTGCGTGCGTGCGTGCGTGCGTGCGTGCGTGCGTGCGTGCGTGCGTGCGTGCGTGCGTGCGTGCGTGTGTGTGTGTGTGTGTGTGTGTTCATCGTTGTCTGCGGGTGGAGGGTGGAGGGGTACCAGCAAGAAAGGGAGGCTGTTTCTCGGGCAAAGGTTTTCGCGGATCTGTCGCTCTGCCAGCCTTCTGGGGATAAGCGAGGGCGACCGAGGCCGCGTCTGGCCCTGCCCGCTGCTTGGCCCCAGGCCCTGGCTGGGCCACCCCAGGCCACGCGCGGCCAGGCAGGCAGGCGAGGCCGGCGGCAGCGACATCGACGGCCGCGATCAGCACGCGGACGACGCCGAAGGCGGCGACGACGGCGCGGACAGCGCCGACGGCGACGACGACGGCGGCGAGGGTGCCGACAGCGCCGACAGCGACGCCGACGGCGACGCCGATGGCGCCGGCAATGACGACGACGCCAACGGCGGCGACGAGGACGAGCGCGGCCGCGCGGGCGAGCCGAGGCTTCGCCGCCGTGCCGGTGGTGCGGCCCCACGGCAGCGCCGGGCTCGTGCCCGCGAGCCCGGGCAGGGCGCCGAGCCGGGGCCCCGGACGTCATCTCTCGGCGATCACTTGGGATACCCTCGAGATCGTTTTGACAGTAATCCCGGAAGTTCCCGCTCGTTCTGGATTGAACGCATCGTATCGGCGGTTAGTGCTCAATAGCGCAACAAAGCGCCTAAACGCGCCCAGTAGCGCCGAAGAGCGCTCAAACAGTGCCCAATGTCGACCAATAGCGCCCAATAGCGCCATGTGGGGGAGATGCAGTATGTCCGCTTTGCACCCGGTTGGGCGAGCTAGCCAGCGCCATGGGGACACAACCAACAGCTTCCGTGAGCTGCTGCCTCAGATCCCGGCGTTAAACTTTGCGCGCGCCAGGCGCGTTCGCCCGGATGCGGGTCCCAGGACCTTCGCTGATTGGGCGGGGGGCTCGAGAGCTGCCGCTGGGAAATGGGATCCAGGGCCGGGGTCCCAGACGTCAGCTCTCCTCGACCACCTGCGATCCCCTCGAGATCATCCTGGCGTCGCACCTTCTGCGCACCTGGGCGCTGTCGCCCAGATGCGGGCACCAGGGCCCTCGCCGATCGCGGGGGGCTCGAGAGTTCGATTGCTGCAGGAAGAGTGGGTCTCGGGCTCTGGTCGTGATTTCACACGGTGTTCGGTTTTAATTCGCGACGTCGGGTCTCAGGGACCATGCATCTAAGCCTCCCGAAAAGGGTCGAGTGAGATTGGGTCGGAGGACCTCGCCGCATCGCCGATGCATCTCTGCGATGCGGCTTGATGTGGCTCCTGAGTTCCTCCACGCCGACGGCGCCGATGCATCGCCGACGCATCGGCGATGAATCGTCGAGGCAGCGCGATCCTCGGACCCCCCCTGCTCGGACGGCACGCGGGAGGCCTCTCGTGCAGGGCGTGCCCTTGCCTTCGGCGGAGGGCCGGCGGAGGGCCCGCGCCAGCCGACGCAGGCGGAGCGGCGGCGCGCCTGCTGCGGCAGTGGGCCAGCTGAGGGTCGGCGGAACGGGGCGGGGGGCGACGTCGCCAGGCCTCCTCGCGCAGTGAACAAAATCACGACGGGAGGATTTGGGGCCATGTTCGGCCTCCAGGGGCCCTCGCTGGGCCTCGGGCCCGTCAAGGAACGGCTCGGAACGAAAAAAAAAACACAGTCCCCGGGGAGGGGTCCAGACCTCGGGGGTCGACGTCATGAACAAAATCATGACTCTGGGGTTCTGTCTCAGGGTGGGGAATACAGTCGGGGCGCTGAAGAAGGAACCCTTTTGGTTGGGGAGGGGCTCCGTGTTACTTAATTGTTTCACAGCTTGCCCTGGGTTTCCCTTAGGTTTTCAATACGAAATCGAGGTTGAACTTATGGGAAATAGGGGCCTCGTTCCTTATCTAGGGTTCCTTAGGTCAAGGCCCCGACTGTAGGCACAGGGGGGGATGCACCGACCCCCAAATCACCCACTGCTCGCCGAGAAGGGGCCCGATAAACCCCACCCCCACCCAGGAAGGTGTGCGGAGTTACGATCGGGTGCCCTGCGCCGATGCATCGGCGAGGGATCGCCGCTTCCAGGTCGATGTGTCCCCCCCAATACGCAGGAGGAAAAGAAACACACAGACACAATTCATCTTCGATTTCCCAGAAACATGTTGGAAAATATGGGAAGTGGGCGGGAAGACAGAAACCCAGAAAAGATGGGAAAATATAGGGGATTATTTTATTTGTGTGTATTTATTTGTGTGTCCTCGGGCCCCTTCAAATACGCCAGTCCCCCCCTATCGCTGCCCCTCGTGAAGGTGGGGCGGCCGCAATTTTGGGCCAGCGGTCGGGATCCGTGGCTTCGCGTGTCGCGCCGCCAGTCCTGGCCCACCGCACTTCGGCGCGGCACGCTGCCCACGCGCCTCAGAGTCCTGAGCTTTCCCGAGCCTCCCGCCCCGCGGAGCGGAGGGACACGCTGTCCAGTCGCACGACATAGCGTGTCGCCCGGGCCCCCGCCGCGGCACGATAAGCAAAAGTTTCCGACGGGAGTCCTCGCCCCCTCTTGGACGACGGCCCCGAGAAGCCCTTCCGGTCCGCCACATCGTACGCCTGCGTTGGGCTTCACCGACTCCGAGAGATCTCGAGCCACGTCGCCTGAAAAGAGAGGCACGCCCTGCGCGCGCGCTCGACGTCGAGCGCGCGCATTGGGCGACGAGACACCCGCCGGGCAGGATAGAGCGGGCCTTGCGGGTGGTCCCTCTTGCGGACCCGCTGCGCTCCACCCCTTACCGAGATCCTGGCGTCGAAGGTTGTTCCAAGTCGGACGTTTTCGCATGATTTCGGACCCCGGGACCCTCACACATCGATCCGGCTACTAGACAAGTGGCGCAGAAAGATGAGGTTTGGGGCTCTGGTCGTGATTTGTCACGATGTTGCGACTTTCCCTAACCATCCTGTAGTCTTGGGTCCTCGCTTTGAAAAGACAGTGCCCCGCGTCTTCTGCACCTCACCTCTCCTCTCCTCTCCTCCTCCCATTACTGTCTCTGCTCTCCGCATGTAATATGTTTCGGCACGCCCCTCGCACGTTTTGTGGTCCCGTAGCGAGCTCCTCTGGCAGCGTTCGCATGCGGCCCCTGGCCCATGTCAGCACACCCCTAACACGGTTCGTGGCCCCATTGGGAGTTCCACCGAAGGTTCTTATGGCAGCGTTCTTATGCGTCCCGCCGCGCATGTCGGCACACCCCTCACACGTTTGGTGCTCACCGAAGGCTCCTGTAGCAGCATTCGCATGCGTCCCCGCAGCACATTCCGGCACATCTCTCACACACTTCGCGGCCCCATAGGGAGTTCCACCGAAGGTTCTTATGGCAGCGTTCTTATGCGTCCCGCCGCGCATGTCGGCACACCCCTCACACGTTTCGTGCTCACCGAAGGCTCCTGTAGCAGCATTCGCATGCGTCCGCGCCGCACATTCCGGCACACCCCTCACACATTTTCTGGCCCCCTTGGGAGCAGCGAAGGATCTAGGTGCAGCGTTGGCACGCGTCCCCGCCGCACATTCTGGCAAACCCCTCACAAGTTTTGCTGCCCCGTTGGGAGCTCCACCGAAGGCTCTCGTGGCAGCATTCGCATGAGTCCCGGCCGCACATGAAGCTCCACCGAAGGCTCTCGTTGCAGCGTTCGCGCGTGTCCCCGCCGCACATTCTGGCAAACCCCTCACAAGTTTCGTGCGCCCATAGGGTGCTCCACCTAAGACTCATGTGGCAGCGTTCGCATGCGCCCCCGTCGCGCATTTCGGCACATCCCTCACACGTTTCGTGGCCCCACAGGGAGCTCCACCGAAGTCTCTTGTGGCCGTGTTCGCATGCGCCCCCCAGCCAGTACCTCGGCACGCCCATCACACGTTTCGTGGCCCCACAGGGGGCTCCACCCATGTTTCCTGTGGCAGGGTCATCATGTGCCCCCCAGCCCATGTCGGCACACCCCTCACACGTTTCGCGGCCCCATTTGATGCAGCGAAGTCTCATGTGGCAGGGTCCGCCCACGTCCCCAAAGCCCATTTCGGCACACCCTTCGCACGTTTCGCGGTCCCCATCCGCATGTCCCGTGCCACATCCTTCCCGCGGAGCGCTACCTACGAGGGCGGGGGTCGTACGCTGCGTGATCCGCAGCTGCATATGATTGGGTCTTTCGCCCGGCTAGTTTCGCGTCGCTGGCTCTCAGGGCCTCGTGCAGCCCCGCCGCGTTCCACGAGACCTGGGCGACGCGGACAGACCGTCAAGAACTGACTCGGGTTGAAAGTCGGCTCGAGATCCTGAGCCCGACGCTGCAAACAAGTTGAGCTGCCGCCAGGAGAAGGAACGGGGAGCGATCGGGCGCCGCTGCTTGAGCCCGGTCGGAGCACGTCCGCTCGGAGCCGAGGTGGGCCGCCACCCTCCCCTCGAGCTCGGGCGACGCGAAGCCCAGACCCCCTCGAGTAGCGACGAAACTCACGACCCGAGTTTGTTTTTTTGTTGTTGCCATTTTCGGCCTCGGGGGCCCTCACCGGGCCTCGGGACCGTCGACTCGGGAAGAAGAACCGGTCTCGGGGAAAAGGTCGAAGCCTCTGGGGGTCGACGTCATGAACAAGAATCATCACGTCGGGGGTCTGGGGCTGCCACTGGGACGGGCCGACCTGTCGGGCGGCCGGTCGGGTGAGGCCTCGATTGCCTTGTTGCAGTGCTGGAGCTCCGGTCGGCCAGGCGGTCGGGCCGGCCCACCGGCCCCGGCTGGGCGTGGCTCGTCAGGTCAGAGCCCCGCGCCCTCCTACCGCCCCGGCGTGGTGCTGCTGGGCCCCGCGTGGGCGCCCCACCCCGTGCAGCACGTGGAGGCCGTGCACGGCGTGGAGGCGGGGGCCCCCGCCGCCCGCCCCCCCCCGGGGCCGTTGGCACCATGGCGGCGAGTCGCGCCGGAGCGTGGCGGGCCAGGGCCGGCGCCGCGGCTCTGAGCAATGAGGCTCCTCACCGCGCTTCTATAGCTGCACCGATCCCGCCCAGGCCCCTCCCAGGGGTCGGTGCGTGCGCCTTCCGGGCCTGGGCCCATGGGGGGGTGCACGCGTCGATCACATGGGCCTGGGATCGGCATATATATTCATCAGTTGCACGATTGTAGATTCGGAGTACAGTTTCTGACCCGTGGTGACGCCTCGTGTCTCCACCGCCTGAGGGGAGGTTGTGAATGTCTGGATGCGTTCCCTCTCCTCCCCTGGCCTCCTCCATAATCGTTTTGGCTCACAGTGATTTGGGGTCCCCTGTCGGCGACAGCTGTATGGGAGGGGACCCCGCCGCCGCCCTCCATCTCTTCTGGGCCGTGGCCCGCGATCTCTCGGGGCTCGGGCAGCGGTGCCCCGACGTCTCGCTGAGCTGCCCAGAGCAGCACTGCCCTGCCTGTCCGGGGGTCACGTGCCTGGACAACACCGCCTGCTACCAGCTAGTGGGCGAGTTCGCTGCGGCTGCGCGCAGCGGACGGGCATCGCCGGCGTGCCCGGCGGCGCAGGTCTGCGAGGCCTGCGAGAGCTGCTTGGACGCCTGCCCCGCATTCCCGTGGCTGCTGATCGTGCTGCTCTGCTGCCTGGCGGCGGGCTGCGGCGGGGGAGGCTGCCTGCTCGGGAGGCTGAGTGTGCGCCGAGGCAGGTCGGCCCCGACAGCGCCCGAGGCAGAACCCTTTGTGGACAGGCCCTTTGCGACGACGCCCTCGACCCTGCGGTTGAGGAATGGCGCATAGGGCTCTCGATATCCCTGAGAAGCAGGTGCTCATCGATTTCTTCGAAGACGAGAACGGGCTGAACTGGCACGCTCGGATTCTCTTGATCCCAGGGGGTCAAGGAAGATGGATCGTGTGCTCGCCGACGTTGGCCGTGCAGGTCGCCGATCTCTCGTCGCATCGGATCCGGATTCTTCGGCGGGGAGAGCCGATCGACCCGGCATACCTCCGCGAGGCGTTCGTCTTCGACGAGGAGCTGGACGAGGGGGAGCTGGCGCGGATCCGAGCCGAGGCGCACGAGCTGGCCGAGGTGGCGGGCTTCGACCTGACGGGCTTCAGGCCGGCCGCTGGCCCAGCGGCTGCAGCGGAGAACGCCACGTGGCGGGTCGCGGACCCAGCCCACCGAGCCTTTGGGGAGGTCGTTCCGCTGGATGCGCTCCGAGATCAGGAGGGCTGCACGCTGGGCGACAAGGTGGGCTGGGTGACGATCGACGACACGGGCGTCTTGATCGAGCAGGTCGTGGACGACAGGTTGGAGGCCTGGCTATCGGCCAAGCGGTGCGGGCCAGGTCGCGATCCCCGGCTGCTGGGGGACGTTCGGGACCACCGAGGGCTGCGATACCTGCATCCAGACGAGGCGACGAAGAAGCAGAGCAAGACGAAGATGCCCTACGAGCCCTTCGAGGGGCCCGAGGCCGCCGAGGAGTTCATGGTGAACATGCTGCGGGTGGGCTTCAACTTCGTGACCCACAACTTGGACTGGGAGGCCAAGAGCGGCGCGTCGCCGAAGTCGGGGTTGGCCCGCGAGCACCGGCATCTCAGCAGCGCGCTCTTCGTGGCGCAGTCGGTGGACCAGTACGACCTCACGAACAGCCTCTCGAACGAGATGCACATCAGAAGGTTGATTCAGATCGAGGCGGCGGTTTGGAGGAACCCGAAGTCACCCGACTTCGAGGGGCTGGAGGTTATGATGCCCCACCCGATCGGCACGGGCGGGGAGGTGACCACGAGGAACTTCACCAAGTGGGTCGCCGAGCGGCAGAAGGACGAGGGCTTCCTCCTCAAGCAGCAGAGGCTGTGGCGGGAGGAGAGAGCGGCAGACGACAAGCGCCAGGCTGGCAAGAAGGATCAGCCGGGCGCAGGGGCCAAGTAGCCCTTGCATCGAGGGGCGCCGTCGTGCCCAGCGCTGGGTCCCCAGGCGCTGAGCTCTACGCGGCGGTGCCGCTATGCCTGGGGAAGGGAGCCCGACGCCATGGAGAGCCCTTCCCAGTTTTGGTACCAGAGCAAGTTCGACCTGAACTACGCGGTGTGCCCCGCTATCTTCGGCAAAGACTTCGGAGGCGGGCCAGCCGTGAGCGGCGGATCCACTCGGTGCTCGGGGCGCTCAACGCCCTGGAGGCCGGGCCGTCGCGCCCCTTTCGCTCAGCCGGGCGGGGGCGAAGAGCAACAGGAGAGCGCCCCCTCGGGCCGAGCAGCTTATCGGTCTTCGAGCGGGTGGCGCGACGAGTTGGGGCCGCCGGGGGACGCCCGGCCGACCTCAGCGAGCAGGGAGCCCTCAAGGAGCTCCTGCGCACCAAGGACCTGTACGGCCTCGAGCCCAGCAGCCTGGGATCGTACGCGTACGAGCGGGTCAAGATTCTCGAGTGTGGCATCACGGTCCGCGACGTCCTGGACCTGGTGCCGCCTGACCAGCGTGACATGCTGGCCCACCCGGAGAAGCACATCCTCCGTGACGCCTCCGACCTCGAGCGCGCGAACGAGCAGGAGATGCCGTTCTCGCCCTTCTGGGACCCGAAGCTGCGCTTCTCCAGGAAGGAGCGCTACCGGCTGCTCTCAAGGCTCAAGGAGCTGGGGCTGCTGGGGTTCCGACGGAGCATCAGAGCGAGGATGGGGATCTTCTTCGTCTCGAAGAAAGATGGGACCCTGCGCCTCATCGTCGACGCGAGGGAGGCCAACCGTATGTGTCGCCGCCCGCCACACACGTGGCTCGGGACCGTGGCGGCGCTCGGGTCCCTGGACCTTTCAGACAGTTCGATCGGCTCGGACGGGCCGGCCGACGTCTACGCAGCCTCGGTCGACCTGTACAATGGTTTCTACCAGTTTCGGAACCGCAAGCTGGGCTCGCTGTTTGGGATCGACTTCGCCGAGCGCGCTGACGTCTGGGGGGTCAGCGAGATCTTCGACGAGGAGCGGGAGTGTTTCGTGCCGGTGGGGCCGGACGAGATGCTCTTCCCGGTCTTCGAGGGGCTGCCCATGGGGTGGTCCTGGGCGCTCCACTTCTGCCACGCCATCACCTCCGAGGCGGGCAGGACGGAGACAAGCCTGCTGCAGGATCGGCACGCACCAGAGGCACCGCGGCCCGAGCTGGCCTACCGGTTGCCGTACGTCGACAATGCCAACGTCATTGGGCTCAGCCGAGCCGCCACGCAGCGCGCCCTGGACGCCGTCAAGGGCGACTTCGACAAGAGCGGGCTGCACTACCATGAGGAGAACTCTCCCGCCGAGACGCTCGAGCTGCTGGGGGTGGAGTTTGATGGTCGGCGTCGTCTGCTGCGTCCCAAGTCTCGACGCGTTTGGCGCCTTCACTTGGCATTGCGCGCCGTGCTGCGCCGAGGTCGCTGCAGCGGGCTCGTGCTGCAGGTCCTGGTCGGCCACATCGTGCACCACTGCCAGCTGCTGCGCTTCGGGCTCTCGGTGCTCGACAAGGTCTGGGCTTTCATGTCCGAGAGCGGTGGCAAGGAGGTTCGCCTGTGGGCGTCCGTCAGGTGGGAGCTGGAAGTGTCCTCCTGGCTCGTGTTCCTGGCCGAGGCCCGGCTCAGCGCTGAGCCTGCCAGCATCGCCTTTTGTGGCGACTCTTCTGCCGCGGGCTACGCGCTGCACGTCACGTCCGTCTCGGGGCCCGAGTTTCGGGCCGTGGCACGCTACCGAGAGCGGTGGCGCTTCGACGCAGTCGAGCGGAGCGACGACGGCTGGGGGGCCGTGGGCAGCTGGACAGCCGAGTGGCGGGCCTCGCCGGATCCAGCGGGGTCGCTCGGCGGCGGCCCCCGAGACCTCGGCGGCGGACCTGCGATTCGCTGCCGACCGTGGCGCGACATCGAGACCGTGGAGCGGCCAGCCGAGGAGGTGGGGATCCCGCCGCTGCCCGACGCGCTGCTCGCGAGCCAGCGCTGGGCGATGGTCATCAAGGGCGCGTGGCAGCACGACGGGGTCATCCATGAGAAGGAGGGCCGGGTGCTGCTCATGGGCCTGGTGCGGGCCTCGAGGTGCGTCGGCCTCCACGGGAAGAGAGTTCTCTCGATTGGGGACAACCTTTCGAGCCTCTGCAGCTTCGAGAAGGGGCGCTCAGGCAGCTTCGCCCTTCGGCGCCTGTGCCAGCGCGCCGGGGCCCTCTCCATCGGGTGCGAGCTCGACTGGTCCCTTCGCTACGTGGAGAGCAAGAGGAACCCGACCGACTTCGACTCGAGGGCGGCCGACCGAGGCGAGCTGGCCGCTGGGTGCTCCGTCGCTGGCCGGCACGGCCGAGCGGTGCTGCAGCGTTGCTCGCGGGCCCCCGACTCGCCGCCAGCCCGACCCAGCGCTCGGGTCCGCCGACCTCCGCCTTCGCGGTCGGGGCTGGGGCGAATGGGGCCGCGGCAGACGTCCGCAGCCCTCCCGACCCCTACGAGGGTTCGGACTCCGCCCGAGCGGCGGTCACCTCTTGGGCGCATGGGGCCTCGCGAGCATTTTGCCGCCCCATGCAGCCGAGGCGCAGCGCGGCCCCGTCGACGCACCCGCCAGCGGGGCCCGCGTGCACGGACTGATCAGCACAGAAAAAGCAACAACCCTGTCGTCAAGACATCAGCTCAGCATCAGTTCGTCGTGGAGATTTTCGCCGGCTGCGCCGCCTTCTCGGCCGCCTGTCAGGAGGCCGACCTCAACATCGGGTGCCCCATCGAGATCTCGAGGGGCCCCCACATGGACGTCACGAGGCAGAGGACCCAGAGGCACATCAAGGGCTTGGTCAAGCAGGGGCTCGTGTGGTACCTCCACTTGGGGACTCCGTGCACTACCTGGTCAAGGGCCCGCACGACGGGCTCAAGTTCGGCCACTCTTGGGGGCCTACAGTTGGCCAAGTTCTCGTTGGGGCTCATCAAACTCTGCAATCGG